CCTCCCCCCCCCCCCCCTGTTATTTAGAGGCTCTTTGTTGTGCGTTGGGCACAGGCAACCCGGTACCATGCAGACGCCGGTAGTCGCAGTGCCACGCGCCATTTATCGTCGTCCCGGTTCTGTTTCGTTCCCGCTACACGCCGCCGTTATGGGTGGCGCAACAACAACAGCGGCATCAGCAGCATCACCGGTGGACCCCTCAGACACTACCAACAACAACATCAACAACAGTGCAAGTAGTGCTGCTCCGCGAGACTGCGGCGTGCTGAGTCGCGTACAGCCAGCAGCAGCGGTTTCAGCGCAGGATCTGGAGACGGAAGTCTGGCGCCTCCGAGCGGAGAATGAGAAACTCCGCTTCATTGAGGAGCAGTTCTGGGCTCTGCTCAAGGAGAACGAGGACTTGAAGAAGGTGGTGAGCGAGAGAGGGAAAACCGCAATGGGGTGTGGTAACAAGATGAGGGACGCGCACAATGAGCACGTGGGTGCCTCGAGGGATGAGGAGGTGTGGCGTCTCTCTTCTTGCACTCGCGCTCTGCGGGAGTGCATAGAGCTTCTTCTTGCGCGGGAGCTGGAGAGCACTGTTCCAGATCGTGATCACAAGGCAACTCTGCATGCGCAACTCGAGCAGGGGGATTCAGTGGCGAGCTACCTGTTGTGGCTCCGTTCAAAACAGCGAAGGGAGGTCGCCAATGATGCTGCTGGCCTTGACCATGCTGGTATTGTTGACGGGCGACACACGACAGAGAGCTCTGCTGCCCTTCGCATAGGGGGCTGCTCCCCCAACGGTGGCAAGCTCGTTGCTGTCACATCTCCGCGGTTTTCTGATGGGGCAGACGCCACATTGATGCGGTGCCAACTCGAAGACACCAAGTGTGCCTTGCAGGAAACGCGTGACATGCTTGAGCTGACGAATGTGAGTCGTGTCGCTGCACTAAACGACTGCGCCCGCATGAGCGAGGAGGTGAGCACCTTGACGGCGCACCTGGAGGTGATCCTCAAGAACAGCCGGGCCAGCCGCGACTTGTGTGTGGAGAACGAGGCACTCAGCGCCCTTGTAGAGAAGCAGGCCCGCGACATTAACATTCGTGATCAGCTTCTTAGGGACATGCGCACGACACTTCAGCAACTTCGGACTGCAAGATCAGAAGAGGAGATCTCCCTTGCCGAGGAAACGGAGCGGGCGCGACACCAACTACTGACGCGACGAGCTACTTAGATCCCTGTATTGTTTAGTTGTGACTTCAGCTGCAGGTCTGCCATTTCCCTCTTGTACATTCCACCACATATTGGTTTCGCATCCAATTGCGTTACCCCCTCTGGGGTCTATTTTTTTCTCACGTATTGTTGCTAGAATGATGTTGCTAATGACAAATTGCCCCCCCTCCCCTCTCTCTCTCTATTTCTCTTTGTTTCGCTCATTCTATTCACTGCTGCTGCTGTGTGTAGTGTGGTGATGCCGTTTTTTCCCCCTGGTCGCTGCGTGGCGTCGCGCGCCATTGCGCTTCGTCAGAGAGGTGCGCCGATGTTGCGGTTCCTGCGGTCTACAGCGCCGGTGGCCGGCGGCATGTGTTCGTGGCGACAACAGTCTGCAGCCCCCGCCGCCGCCGCCGCGACGAGGACGATGGGAGAAAGTCATGACCCAGCTGCCCTCAACAGTAGCAGCGTTTGTGGCGGCGCGTCAAGACTGATGGGGACGGGATTTTCACAGTGCAAGAACGCCTACACCTGGGAGGCGTCGCGGGGCAAACCGAACATGATGCACCTTGTATCCCGCCACGAGGGGGATCTGCCGCAGCGCCTGCGCCGTTTCGGTATGCCGCAGGGCTACCCGGACTCGTGCGCAGTGGGGTTTCGTCGCTACTTCCTCCTCTCCATGTGCAGTAGCTCCATGTCGAGCTTTGCTTCCTCTATAGGTTACCAGTCTATTCTGAATGGATTCTTCCTTGGATCTTCACCGCAGCTGTGGATGCTGAAAGACCTGCTTCCCGCCTTGGCCGCCGCGTACATGGCAAATCGCATTATTTCCTACGAGAATCGGCCCAAGTTCTGGTTTGTGGTGAGTGTGGTGATGCACAATCTATCTGTGATCGCGGAGATGATAATTCCATTGGCTGTGCCTCAGAATCTCCTTTTGGGTGCCGTAGTCACGTCCTGCGTGCGACAGTTGGCGTCCCTTATGTTTTTAGTTACTAGGGCTTCTGCGTTGCAGCATTTTGCGGTGAGTAACAACCTGGCGGAACTGACAAAGAAGTTTAACTCATCTGGAATGGTAATCTACACTATATTCACGGCGTTAGGTATAGCATACACGTCTGTAGTAACATCACTGGCGGCACAGCTTCTCACTGTGTTATTTTGCTGCGCGGTGAATCTGTTCACTTCGTACCAATCTATGAGCAAAATTGCATTTCGTGTCCTGAACACCACGACACTTTCTGTGGTGCTGCGCGATTATGTGGGGAAGGAGGGCAAGCACCGACGACACACACTGACACCAAAGGAGGTATGCGACCGCATTGGTTTATCGATGGTTGATAAAATGTCCCGGCGGCGTGATGATCGCACTTGCCTTTTGTATGTAAGCCCCCCGGTAGACAAGCTGCGCATCCACTTCAACAGTCTCGAAGAGGATGTGCTGTACGTTTGCTCCTCCGAGATGTTCCTGCTAGCGCTGTGGGAGCCCACAGCTCCTCTAACACTGCGGGAGAGTTGGATGCGCTGGGAGCCTCCGCACGTATTAAGGCGTCTGCTTCATTGGCCCTCAGCGGCAGCGAAGAACGCAGTCCTTCGTGAGCAGTTTAGAAATCGGTTGGTATTGCTAATTCATCAGGAGTGTGATCAACTGCACCTCCTCACCGCCTACCTGCTTGCGTACACAGCGCTGTTGTACCATGCAGAGACGGCATTTGAACTCCGTCGCTTTCTGCGCTCGTGCAATGACGAGCAGCCGTTGTGGTTGCGCTATGGCGCGGAGCTGCATGAGGCGCTGCGCCGGGCAGAGTGGGACGTGCAGCAGCTCGCGCTCGACCCGCCGGACTTCCGCCTGTCGAACCTGCGCTTCGCGATGGGCCGCGTGCCGCACCCACCGCACTGCTCACTGAGTGAAGCAGACGGGGACTACGTGTTACATGGATCGGCGAAAGAGTGAGTGAGGGGAGAGTGGAAAAGGGCGGCACAACACGCCAAGTACACACACATATACATGATGCATGCCCGCCCTTTCTTTGGAGAACGTAACGAGTGAATATTTGTGTGCATCCTTTGCGCGGCACGCGTCTCCCGCGTCTTATTTTTGCCGTTGCTGTCGTGTTTGAGCTTTGTAACCTTCTAGGCGTTTCTACGCGCGCAAGATCGTATTCGAGGAGCAACAACGATATAAGAATCAGTCTTCTTCTTTTGTTCTCTTTTTAGTTTCCCTTTTCGCACCATTCAACGAACGATTGGGAGCTCAGTCGAGACAACAACATCGTGTTGACCAGCCGTTGGGTGACATGTGTTGCCGGTGTTTTGGTTGGTAGCAGGAGGTGATCGCTACTTATGGTTGCCGCGAGTTCTTCTGCACCTGTCGTTATTTTACTACCTACACCTGGTGTGTGTGCCCTGCTCTTGAGGCTACTTCTGTGGTGCTTCTCTGCAGTGGTGTTGCGGCTCTCGATCTTCACCCTTCTCTTCCTTGTTGTTTCTCTCACTCCTTTCACGTGTGCGTGTGCACTGTTTGGTGCGACAGAGAGTGGATTGAATAGCTGCGGGCCTACTATTTGCGTTGAGATAAGGAAAGCCGACAAAACAAGAGCATAAAAGCGAAAAAAAAAAAAGAAGGTAACCACGAGAGATATCCATTTTGTATAATCCAATCTGACCGTGCAATATGGCCTTGGTTTCGCGGAATTTCGCCGAGTACTACCATGAACTGGTCACGCGGGAGCCGTTGCCGGAGGAACTGCTCCTGCGCGTCTGTCGCGAGGAGAGGAGCGCGCGGAAGCGCATCGAGCAGGAAGTCAACGCCGGTGTGGTGGACCTTCTGCACGTGATGGGCATCATGATCAGCGACCGCAAGAAGAAGGAAAAACACTCCTCTCACCTTGTCTCGTACGACAAGCACACGCTCATGATCATGGAGCGGGAGACGGCGGTGTGGCTGCCGCCCATTCCTTCGCGCAGTGTCGTGGCGCCGAAGCACCGCTTCTTCTCCGGCTTCCCCAAGACGAAATACAACGCACTGGTGCAGCAGGAGGAGGAGTTGCGCAGCTGGTTGATGGGCGTGGAGTCGCGCCTGCGCCACCCCATTGAAGAGTTGTGCGCGCATTCGTGGTTCCTCTTGGTCTGCTTGCAGCAGTGTGCCGAGCGTGAGGCCACTAGCCGGGCGCGCGTGGAGCACGATGAGAGCGAGCAGCGCCTCATTTTTCGTCGCAATGTCTTCCGCCTCGCTCCGCCGGACTACTTCCGCTATTTGTGGACGGAGCGGTACGGCACGAAGGAGGATGCGGTGGAACGGCCGTTTGCAGAGGTGTGGCAGGATTCTCGCACCGCCATTGAGCAGGAGGAACAGGACGACTGGCGCTGCATGCTGCGCTGGCTCTTCGACATGTACGGTGTGCGCCTCTTCTCTGTCATCCGCAGGGAGGTGTCGTCGCGCTACGAGATAGAGGAGGAGGAGCGCGCCGAGCTGTGGTCCGACGTGCTGCAACTTACCCGGAGCACGTTCGGCCCGTACAACAAGAACACCGCGTCTGTGGCGTGGCACGGAGGGGGCCACACACCAGTGCTGCGTGACTTGACGCTGTACATGGCGGATATCGAGGCGGAGCACCACACCACCCCGGGGCCGGACGACACCGCGGAGGAGTCGTCGTGTGAGAAGGTAGACATTGTCGCGGGCGAAGAGAAGGACGCGTGGCGTGAAATCAACGACGACAGCGCGGCTGCGGCCGGTGCTGAGAACGACGTGGCACCGGTGAAGCCACCCCTCCAAAACGCCTTGTCGGGAAACCCATCAGCCAATGAGGTGGACGCCTCCACCCCTCGTGCGGCGGAGCTTGAGGACGAAAACAAAAAACCTGAACAACTTGTCAAGGACGACGAGATTGCCCAGTATGAAGAACTGGAGGAACCAAAGGATGCTGATCGGTATAAGGAACTGGAGGAGCCGACGGCGGAAACACAGAATGACAATGGGGAAGTTCAGGCGGAGGATCCATGTATTGAAACCTCATCGGGAAAGGCATCGCCCAATGAGGCCATCGCCCAACCTTTCAATCCGCCTCTGACCGATGGGGACGTTAATGTACAAAAGCAACCGGAGCAGTATGAGGAGCATGACGTGGTCCAAGAAGATGAAGCGCCAGTGGAAACCCAGGGTGCTGATCAGTCCGAGGAACCTGAGAAGCCTGACACAACCGAGTTACAGGACGAAGATTCAAAGATACAGGAGGAGCCTGAGCCTGTTCATACTAAAAAAGAAAAGTTCCCGATCACTGAGTGCGATGACTCGTACTTCGTTGCACCCTCTGAACCTGTGAATGCACCTATTCAGCCAGGGCAAGTGGAAGAGCAAGAGGAACCCGCAGGGGCACCACCGGTGGATGGGATCCAGAAGCAAGACGAGGTTCATCCTCTTCACGCATCATCTGAGAGAGGATCGATCGATGAGGCTGATGACTCCCGCATGCCTGGGGCTGAGAATGATAACGATGAGCCAGCGGCGGAGCAGCTATACGTGGAAGAACCATCTGATGAGCCTGTGGCCCCTCAGCCAGTGGAGGAGAAGCCAACTGATGAGCCAGCGGCGGAGCAGCAGTTCGAGAAAGAACTATCTGATGAGCCTGTGGTTCCTCAGCCAGCGGACAGCGTCCACAAGCAAGATGAGGTTCATCCTCTTCACGCATCATCTGAGAAAGGATCGATCGATGAGGCTGATGACTCCCGCACGCCTGGGGCTGAGAATGATAACGATGAGCCAGCGGCGGAGCAGCAGTTCGAGAAAGAACTATCTGATGAGCCTGTGGCCCCTCAGCCAGTGGAGGAGAAGCCAAATGATGAGCCAGCGGCGGAGCAGCAGTTCGAGAAAGAACTATCTGATGAGCCTGTGGTTCCTCAGCCAGCGGACAGCGTCCACAAGCAAGATGAGGTTCATCCTCTTCACACATCATCTGAGAGGGGATCGATTGATGAGGCTGATGACTCCCGCACGCCTGGGGCTGAGAATGATAACGATGAGCCAGCGGCGGAGCAGCAGTTCGAGAAAGAACTATCTGATGAGCCTGTGGCCCCTCAGCCAGTGGAGGAGAAGCCAAACGATGAGCCAGCGGCGGAGCAGCTATACGTGGAAGAACCATCTGATGAGCCTGTGGCCCCTCAGCCAGTGGAGGAGAAGCCAACTGATGAGCCAGCGGCGGAGCAGCAGTTCGAGAAAGANCTGGGGCTGAGAATGATAACGATGAGCCAGCGGCGGAGCAGCAGTTCGAGAAAGAACTATCTGATGAGCCTGTGGCCCCTCAGCCGGTGACGAACGAAAATGCCGAGTCAGATGTTTCACACGAGGGAGAGACTGCAGGGACGCCTGCGGGTGCGGAAGCTCAGGAAGGAATTACACAGAATGAAGCACATGCGGAGTATCCCGAAGAGTTGTCTGAAGGAGACGTTGAGCATCATGAGGAGCCAGTCCCCGTCTCTGCACCAGATGAGGGCGAGTTGTAAAGCAACGCGGTAGTGCTGTTTCATGAGTTTATGTTTATTTCCTAAAGCGGTTTCCCTATTCTACTCGGTATGCGTTGTGTGGGAGGAGTCATGTAAATTGTGTGGTGCACGATGATTTGCTGAGATCAAGTGAAAGGTGAATTGGGAGAAAACTTACTACAATGCTTGAAGTGGAACAACAGAAAAAAAAAAGAGAGGAAATGGAATTAGCTCACGCGATTTTGTCTTCCTGTTGTCCTTTCGCTCCGCTCTGTGTCCTACCCATATACAAAATATGCGTGTTTGGAATGTACAAAAAAAAAGATTCAGAGATTTTGCTGCTTTACTGTGCTTGGAATTACCGCATGTTGACATCGTCTTTCTGTACCAGTGAGACTCTTGTGGTTCCCTTTGCGTGGGTGTCATTTGCTGTTGCAGAGCCGTTACGATGGATTTCTTCTTGGTGTGTTTCTTTCTATTTTTCTTCAACGTGATCTAGACTACTGGCGTCGGGTAGGAGGACCATTGACGTGATCCACGGCGTCCTCTTTCCCTTCACTCATTCAGTGATGTTTCGGTACTGTGTCGAGCTGCTGAGCTGCACTTGGTCGGGTGCACAGCAGGAATCTACGCCACCTGTCTGTCTTGAGGTGCATTGTCAGAAGCGGGGTGCTCGCTGCCGTGTGGAATGTTTGCCGGCGCAAATGGCGGTGCGCAGTGCGCCGGAGACGGAGCGTATTCTTTTATCGGTCCTACGCGACGGCGCAGTTCTGGCTAGAAGTGACGCCATCGAAATTGGTGGCGTCAGCCGCCGTGTAGGGGCGCGTACGGTGCCGCTGATGGCCGGGGCTGCTGTGCTGTGCAGTGTGCGCCTCATGTGGTCCGTCGAGGAGGAGGACGGAACGGTGTTCTCACGCCATGTCGAGGATTATGTGGGGGACAGGCGGCAGGCCGCGGCGCCGGTGGAGCAAGAAGAGACTGTTGTCACTGCTGTTTCTGCCGCCGCTGCTGCTACAGCTATCACTGCTCCAGCCGGGGGATTTGTCTCGCGACAGGTGGGCTGTTCTTCCCCCACCGCCAGTCCGCTTTCTTTGACTCTAACACCGAAAGCAGCAGCAGCGGCTGTTGCAGTGAAGGAGAGCACGGCATTTTCAGAAGATTTGTCGGCGCAGGCTGTTATTGCACAGCAATACCTAGACCACCAGCAGCAGCAGCACCAACAGCAGCAGCAACAGAAGGAGGAGCAACAAAACGAGCAGTGCACGATTGTTGGAACTCGCGGTGCGGGCTACCGTCTGAGTGGGAGAGAAGAGCTGGGGGCCCGGTGGTGCGTGGGCACCCAGCGGCACCTCCCGCATGATGGGGTTCCCGACTACTACGTCACGTCCACGCAGCTGGAGGGGCGGCCAATGGCGTGGCACAATTTATACACCAGTCCTGCACCCCTACTGGTGGCAGACGGCCTCATGCTAGAAGCTGTGTCGTGTTCGACTCTAGTACCGCCTGTGAGCGGATGTGATTCTCCCCAAATGTCTTCGCAGAAGGGCGGCTCTGCTCTCGAGGACATTATACTTCGACCGACAAAGGCGCCCGAGACGTCGGGGGAGGAGGCGCAGAGTTTGCTTTACTCGAATAGAAAGAAGGTGGAGTGGCGTAGGTTGACGTCTTCAGATGCTTCTAATGCTGCAAGGCCCACGTTGCATACAAGGTGACAGAACGATGGGGCAGAACAGCTCTGCGAGACGAAGCAGTGGTGGAAACGATTATTCCTGCATAGACATAATTGTACACGGCTGAGATGTGCGGTTGTGTGTCTGTGAGCCGGTAATTCCGCTGTAGTAACCTATGGGAAAGCGACGTCTCTCCGTTCCTTCGCATTCCCCTCTTTTCCTGGCGGAGGAAATCTACTAAATAGAACAAAACCTAAGCACTCAACTATGGCAAGCCCCGCCGCTGCTGGCACCCTCGCCGTTCTGCTGCCGCTTGGTGGCTTTATCGGCTATTCCCGTAAAGGCAGCATCATGAGCTTGGCAGCAGGAACGGTGACAGGGGCCATCATGGCCTATTCTCTCGTCTACCTGCTGAGCGATCCGCACGACAAGTGGGGCAACCGCATTGCGGCAGTCACAACGCTGCTTTTGGCAGCCGTGATGGGGGCTCGTTACGCAAAGGGACGGAAGAGCGCTTCCCTCATCGTCAGTGTCATGTCCGGACTGAGTTTCCTCCTGGCATTTGGGCCCAACGCATACTGACAAGGCAACACTTGCGCTTCTGTTATTTACCCACTTTTCTTTTTTTATTCTATCATGAGATTTTTTTTATGTTTTTTTTTTACCAAGAGAAACTGCCTATTGTGTCTTCGAAATAGCGCAGGCGAATTTGAGTACTTTTTTTTTCCCTCTTCGGTGTGGTGACTCCGTTGGGTGCGTGATGGATGGCCCGTACCCCTTCTTTTTTCTTAATTCTGTGTTTTGTGTTGCGCTAGTGATGAGGCGGAGGCTGTGGGTGCCACTTCTCTCGTTGCAGCTGGCCACGCGATGCAGCAGCATGAAGGGCGGTACGTGCAGCCACGGCAGGGCCGGGGAGGAGGAGGCAATAGGCGACGAGGATGCGGCGGCGCAGCGGCTCGTGCACTCTCTTGGTTTTGAGCTGCACGAGATGGAGCTGCTGGTGCGTAGCTTTACTACGGGCGAGAAGCCGCCGCTAATTGGCGCGGATGCAAAGACTCCAAAGGTTCGGTCTCGCCTTGTAGAAGCGTGCACGACAGAGCCACTGCTGGCGCCAACGCTAAACAAATTGGTGTCGACCATCGAAGCCGTGCACGGCTGCTCGGACCGCAGCGGGCACCAGCAGGTAGTTGCAACAGCGGGTGACGGTTGCTCAAAGCTGACCGGCATACTGTCTCGCTGTGCGAAAGGCGTTGAGACAGGCGTGGGCACCAAAGAGCTAGAGCGCCTCTCGTCTGCGCAACTTCGGCTCGCCGCAGTCGCTGTTCTAGCGATGGCGCTACGGGAGTCGATGCAGGCGTTTCGCCGTGAGGGGAGGCGCCGCTCTCATGAGGCTCGCGATGTCGATCCGGATCAAGTGAAGTGTCTGCAGGTGTGGCGCTGCGGGGTGCTCAGGGCGCACGTGGAGGCTGCGGTATCTCTTGACGATGCCTGCCGCGCCATACTTGCCGCGCCTCGCAGGGAGCAGCACGGCTATGCAGTGGGCCAACGGGTGAGTTGTGTGTGCGCTGCGACCATAATTGCCTCGTCACTCTCTCTTGCGGATGAGCTGAAGTGGCACGTGTCGCGGCCCAGCGTGAGGGTGCACTTTGAGGAAGAGGCTCTCCAGGAGCAGGAGCGCCACATTGCCCGCTGCTCATCATCTATTCTGCGTGCTGCCGTTTGTGTATTGGAAAGTGCTGTGGAGGAGAGCATACAGACTGGACAGATAACGGAACATCCAAGGCAGCTGCCGTACACTCTCCGTGTTGTGGAGGACTGTTTAACGCTAATGGAGACTCCACGCTCTCCATGCAGCGAGACCACTTCGGGTGGAGTTGGTGGGTGTTTGTTAACCACTCTTCTTATGTGGGTGTTGTTGGGCGTTGTGTCGTTCCGCGGTCAGCCGTCGCTGCAGTTAGAAAAACAGCTAATTACGTGCCTGCAGCGGCTTTGGTTGAGGGCGGCTCCCCCACTTGAGCGGCACTCGAGTGATAAGATGATGACGCATCGCACTATTCACGCCTCTCTCAATCTTCGCCTTTCCCACTGCAGAGAGACAAACGATGATGCTCGCCATCCTCGGTATAAGGGACAGGGGGAGCAGCAAAGGAAACAACAAGAGGACAACGCGACACTGTTTGTGACACATCCGGCCAAAGCATCTTCCTTTCTTCGCCTACTCGAACGTGCGACAAATGCATTCTCCACGTGGCAGACACAACGCGGTACGGCTTCTCCGTCGATGGTGATGCCGTATGCTATCTTGTGCCGCACGATGCTGGAGATGGAAACAGAGGTGTATTTCCTCGCATGCCAAAAAACGGACCGTACGTGGACAATACCAACGGGCCTCCACAACGCCAAGCCAAAAAATGCAGAGAAATGCACGGTGACCGATCCTGAATGGAATGACGTATTCACTTCTGCGTCTGCTTTGCGTGTTTCGGCGAGTTCCCTTGTTTGTACATATACGCGAGCCTACATTTCGCAGGGGCTGTCCGCTCACTCATCTGGAAAAGAACAAAAGACCCTGCCGTTCGTGCAGCATCCTGCGTACAGGTTTCTTCACGGCATTTCTGCCTCCTTCTTCCCGCTGCTGCGCCGCCACTACCTTGATACGGAAGGGAAGGAGATTTTATCAAGCTGTCTGCATACATTTGTGGCGCTCAAGCAGGTAAGTGACATAATCGATGGTGACGGTGAGGAGAGGAAGCGCGGAGAGAAGACGGCATTTCGTGTTTGTGGTGTCAGTCTTGCGCAGGCCGCAGAGGTGGCATTCTTCCTGTCCATGCAGCGGTTTGATCAGTCACGCTCAGACAGTGGATTAGGGGGCGCTGCAGATTCAATCGACAATCCTGTAGTGTTGTCGTACGTGAAGGAGGTTCTTTTCGCTCTCGACCACAACACGGCAAAGCAGCTGTGGCACCTGCGTGTCAAGAATTTACAGCAAGGGTTTACAGGTATGGACTGTGAAATCGAATCACCAGACGAGCGACGTCAACGAAGACAGGCACAGTCTATTCTGAGTGTCGTGCACGCCCACGTCATGCATCCCTCGTTTCTTTGGATGCCTTTGCAGCAGCTGCAGGAGGTGGTGTTTATTTTGTCGCAGAATCGAGAGCTGCTTGAGGGACTCCAACACGACTCAAAGCCGATGGGGGATGCATGCGACCCCCCTCCGATCACTGTTGTCCGCGTCGGGTCGTTGGGAGGCACACCGTGGCACTTTGGTCGCGCGCTCGGCTACATGGTGATGCGTCTCTATGTGGTAAGCAATGTGCTGCGCCACTACCACCACGCGCTTCGGGGAGAAGAGCGGCCCTCCCATGTGCTGCTGGAAGAGCCCGCAATGGAGGCGAAGAAACGCGAACGCCGCGCCTGGGCAAAGAACATGGCACACACGCTGCTCGACAGCTGCACGGGAATCGCCGCAGAAGTAGAGGGGCTCAACCCCAAGCGTATGGCACACCGCAGGCGCGGAAATATGCGTGTGCTGGCGCGGCTGGAGGCAACTGTTCGGCTGGCTTCGCGACACGGCCTCCTGTTTCATGTTAGGAACCGAGGAAAAATGCGGCGGCTAAGGCAGGCGGCTCAGCGGAATGCCCAAAGCATACAATGTGGTGTTGTGGCTGATGCTGCTGGTGCTGTGGATGACGGGGATGCAGCGGGGGCTGCACATCCTAGTGGTTCACTTATTATTCGCTTAAACCGGGCTGACGCAAGTATGCCTTTGGGCTTCTCCCTTAACGGGGATAGTGCGACAATACGCCGATTAACGAGGGCGGAAATTAAAGGATCTGCCGATAAGCTGGCGGACACCACGCCGTTTGCAACAGCGCTTCGAGCTGCTGGTGTGGCAGACCCACACACAATGATTGGTTGGCGAGTCGTGGATATTGATGGCGCCAATGTGGAGAGCAGCAAGGCCGTCATTTTACTTGTGAAGGGGAAGTGCGAGTTCTCCATGACGCTGTCACCGACATAGCACGGTGGCATTCCTTTGCACACTCCAAGCCTTCTCACAGAGAGGATGAAATATGCTGACTTGACGCACCGGTGGCTATGTGTCTCCGCGGGTTTGTTCATTCGCCGTTTCTTTAAGGAGATTTTGACTTTTTTTGCGCTTATACAGAATTCTTCTCCTTTCTTCTTTATTTATGCATAGTCAAGGTTAGTGTAGCTAATGTCTCGCACGTGGAAATGCTTTTTTTTGCACTTGCTGACTCTGATTGACATGATGAGCATGTACTGTTCATGAAGTTAGCCCTTCAATCCGACACCCCATTGACGATGGAACACCGTTCACAACTGTGGNTGTACTGTTCATGAAGTTAGCCCTTCAATCCGACACCCCATTGACGATGGAACACCGTTCACAACTGTGGCTGACGCTATCTCCCAACATGACTGCCTCTCCCCCCTTCCCAGCTTCTGCGAACACCGTGGGTGCTTCTTCGAACGTGCCGGTGTAAACAGAGCGTGCTCTGACAACTTGTAGCTACGCTCTGTGATAGCGGTGACGGAGACTACCTCTCTTGATGCTGATTGACATGATGAGCATGTACTGTTCATGAAGTTAGCCCTTCAATCCGACACCCCATTGACGATGGAACACCGTTCACAACTGTGGCTGACGCTATCTCCCAACACGACTGCCTCTCCCCCCTTCCCAGCTTCTGCGAACACCGTGGGTGCTTCTTCGAACGTGCCGGTGTAAACAGAGCGTGCTCTGATACTTGGTAGTTGTGCGTCTTTTTTAAAAATTGCTGTGATTGTTGTTGCTTAGAGATATAGTGATGTCGCTGGGGGATGAAGTGTTGGAGGGTATAACAAACCCACACGATTCCATTCTCCCTACCGAGGGGCTGGGGTGTGCCTCAGAGGGAGTGCAAGATACTGAGGTAGTGGCTCCCTCTTCTGCTGCTGGGACAGGTACGTCAAAGATGCGTAGCCTTGCTGCTGGACAGGTGGACCGCGCAGTGGCTGCTGCGCTGCCAAACGGCATGCACGTTTCCAAAGACGCTCGGATCGCGTTTCAGAAAGCAGCCACTGTGTTCCTAATGTATCTCTCATGTCTTGCGGACGATGAGCGATCCGGGGAGTCGAAGAAACGCGTGACACTTTGTGCACAAGATATAAAAGGAGCTTTGAAGGCTGCTGGCATGGGGCATTTGGTGCCGTTGCTAAGCATCGGACACATGAAGAGAGGACGCTCTGATGATCATTCATTGCTCTAGTGCGAAAAAAAAAACTTACGTTAGATCGTAGGCTTTGTCTTTAGGGCAGGTGAATGATGCTTCTGTTCAATATTTTGTGTTGGGGAAGAAATGCCAGGAACATGGATTGCCATCACAGTTGCTTTTTCGCGGTTTTGGAATCTTTTCTTCCTGTTCTCATTGCCTCTATGAGTGGGTTTCTTGATAGTGAAAGCGCGATGATATGGAAAGTGCTGGATATACTCGCGAGTAAGGAGAACCCTGAAGTGGGCCGACTTCGTAAGGTCATTGTGGTGTTTTTCGCACTCTGGGTCACAGATCTGTTTCTGAGTATATACTGCGAGTGCTTGCTTCTCAGCGTTAATGCGTATGTTGTATTCAATGTGTGGGTGACACTCGTTGCTGCCGCTTTATCACACCTCTACGGGTACAGCCCCACTGCGATTCCCTCTCCGAAGAGTAATAAGAATCTGCTGAGATCCAACCTCCCGAGTTCTCCAGTGAAAGGGGGGAATGACCAGCAGGAGCCGGGCCTGAATTATGCAGGGGGAATAGACAGTTTTTGCTTTGCCCTCAAGAGGCTTCATGTTCTTGTCTCATTTGGTTCCGCTGTCTTTGTCATGTTCGGCTGCCTAATGGTGTTTGGGGAATGTCTGCACCACGCGTTTCACCCACACCACACGTCTCCTATCATACTCCTCGTGATCGGAGTATCCCATGCTGTACTTTTCTCCCTTTACGGGAGGGAGATCGATATTTACGACCGCATCAGTGGCCGAGGTGTCCAGACAGGCGAAACGTACAGCGTTTCCCCCGGACATATACTTCGTCCACTTCGTCAGCTTCGCCGACGCCTGGCTACTCTGTTGAAGACAACAGCGTGGCGCAGTGGCGTCATAAGAGGTGCACTTCGTGCCTTTGTTCCGCTCTCGTGTTTGATGGTTTATCTCTTGGCGATGATCTGCGAAAGCCACGTTGTCGAGCTGACAGGAGCGTTGCTGCTGTCTGCGTGCGTGTTCGTTGTCACACTTGCACGGGCGGAAGAAATGGCGTGGATGCTGCTTAACAATGCTGTGCGGCAGCCGTCGCTTGTGGCCGCATGCGAGCGCGCCGTCCGAGGCGTCAAACTCATAGACGGCGTGCTGCAGGTGCAGTCGTCCGTATTCTGGGAGGTGGGCGATGACCAGCTGATGGCGCTGGTGCATCTTTGTCTCATGTCGTCGGCGGATGCCCGTTCTGTCACGCGTGCGGCGCGGCAGATTCTGGAGGGCGTTGCGACATATGTATTTGTCGAGACACGCATGCCGAACGAAGAAGACGACGGGGCATTTTTTATGGAGGAGGGGGAGTGCGGTCACGATCACGGAGACCATGACGGATGCGGGCATCATCATCATCATCATAGTGTTAGTTATGTGCATGAACATGGACATGGTGGAGTAAATGTAATTGAGCCAGCAGCAAGTGGGACAATTGTTGAAACCACATTGAAGCAAAGCAAAGCACCTCTTTCAGCGGCCCCTGCAACCCTACTGCCGTTTCCACAGCCGCCAAATACTGCCGCCGCCGATACTGCTGGACGCAGTGAACAGCAATCGCGGCCTAGAGCAGCGTTCACGTCAGGGAGTGGTCCAATGCCGACACTTACACAATCTTTCAACTTTGTTCCCCCACCATTCCCCAAACCACCTTCCTGAAAGATGCTTTTCTTGCGTTGGAGAAGCTGCTCGCCTCATGAGTCGTTGAATCCTTTCACTTCTTTCTTCTGTTTGTGTATGGTGATGATGAGGTTTGGGTTTCGTGTCTCATTTTATGCGTTTATTAAAGAGATCACCTCACCGCTTGGTACTCCATGGGCTGTGTACTTCACCTTGATTTTCTTACGCTTGTGGCACAAACAAATGACTAGCTCTGTGGAACCTCCTGTTCTTGCCTCGCTTGCACTAGAGATGGGGAGCTAGTGACTTCTAAGCTTTCCCCCCATTCCCAGGTAAGAGGAGCTTTGGATTTAATACTTATTCTTCCCCATTCTGGAGCTACAATGCTGACAATGTCATCACTCGTGTTTCCATAGGTGAGAGATAAAACTGTGAAAGGGACACTTATGGGGGGACCAAAGAAGAGGAGTCCTCTGAAGCACGTTGAGGTATCGCAAGCAGTTGAAGCCATTGATGCTCTCACTCGTGACTATATGGTGTACTTCGAAGGCACAGTCAGAGAACAAAAAGACCGGGACAAGGTGGTTCGTTGTAGTGGGGCGCGCCGGGCCAGTGACGACAGGCTACAATCCGTCGAGGAGCTTCGTTTTTCAGGCCGCGCGGCAACTCGCCGCCTAGGCGCGCGCTCCCGTTACACCAAGGACGGTTGTTGCACATCTGCACCAGAAGCAGGAGCAGCAACAGCTTACACATTTTCAGAAAGAGTCTGCGCTGCCTGGTGTGCTTGCGCCGGTGAAAGGAGAGGTGCGCGAGGATGGGTATGCTCCCGTATTTTCTGTCAAAACAACCGCACTTCCACTACCTACCCTCCTGGTACCATGTGAGGAAGAAGAAATAAGACGCTGTTCCCTCAACTATGGAGGTGATTTCTACAGAAGCGTCCCAGATGTTGATGGCTGACAAACGCCCGTCGCGTGTCCAACAGGAGGAACGGGAAACTACAGAAAAGGAATGGAGTTTGCTTGGGAAAGACCGATGATCGTACGCGGAGCTTCCGATTGGATCATTGACGTATACTCTTCAGGCTTATATCCATCACCTAATAGAAGTGGAGATACAATTTACACGGTTGCTGTAGTCCGAGGATCGTAAATGATGTCAAACACACATAAGTAACGCATTGTCTCTTCAAAGAAAGAGCGAGATGGTTTATTCAATTTTGAGATGATTGCCACCAGAATTGAAGTGAGTGTAGTTGTTTGGGGGCTGAAGGTGTCTTTTTTGAGCCTGATTTAGACAACAGTATTCCATGTTGCTCAGTTGTGCATTTCAGTGCTCTAAAAGTCTTGTTTTTTTTTTTTTACATGTCTCGTGTCTATAATTCTTTTGGTTGTTGATAGGTGGGCTGCATTCGTCTTTACAAACTCGTCAAGAGGAAAGGTGTGGCGCGATGGCTACACCGCATGGGGGTCGATTCTACCATACCTTCACGAAGCGAAGTGCCGAGAAGGTGTTTGACATTAATATTCCGGCGGGCCACAAGGTGCTCTGCGGTGGTGTGCGTGCGCACGGCGCCACCGGCATCCTTTCCTCCTTCTACAACGTGGAGCAGGGCTCGTGGGTGGTGCATCACGCCCCCATCGACGACGGCGCGTCTGTCGTGCTGCAGGTGGTCACGCTGGTGGACCCGGACGACCGCTATGACGTGGCCGTTTCAGTGGCCTCCTTGACAGATGGCATGATGCCAGATGAAATTGAGAGTCTCACTCGCCGCACGGAGGTGTACGAACGCCACAGTGGACCGATGAATTTAGTGTCCTCCTCCTCCACTATTACTACTACTACCCTCCCACCATCTGCTAAGCCAGTGGTCCAGAAGCCGGGCCAACGACATCACTGCAGACCGAATCGCAGAAACATCGTTTNCCCTCCCACCATCTGCTAAGCCAGTGGTCCAGAAGCCGGGCCAACGACATCACTGCAGACCGAATCGCAGAAACATCGTTTCCTTGATTTGCCCTGTTGTTGAAGGGTACACCTTGACAGGCGGCGGTTTTGTGTCAGGCTATCCAGTTCTTGCATCTTCAGTGGAACGATGGGGCCCGCGTAATGACGGTTGCTCGTTACTGCTACCTAACGAGCTGTCTTCTGATGACTCCTTCGCCGTTGTCAGGACAACTACCACCAAAGCCATCACTGACGTGCACTGCAGTGACTCCTTGGATGCTTCTTTGCGTTGTGTTCCGCATGCCTTGAATGGCTCCCCTAGAGAGGATGGGGAATCTGCGAGGTGGTGTGTCGTGGCCGCGGAGAGTCTCTCACTGACGTGCTACGCCATCGGTATTTGCCCGCGTCCGCTTGCCAAGGCTGTAATACCGCGCGGAATGAACATCATGCCTGTGGTGTCGCTCGGTCCAGATAGCATCTCTAATGACGACGTAGCAGCCGTCAAGGTGTTCCACCGGTCGGGTGGACGGTGGGGCATTGAACTGCCGCCGCCACATAGGAAGTTTTATTTCAGCTTCGGTTCATCATGTGCCCCTAATCCGGTCATGCTGTCGACGTTCTATCGGTAAGTCTCATTACAACTGCTTATCTACACATGCGTGTGTGTGTGTGTGTGTGTGTGTGTGCTTGTGGAACAGCAGTGCAACTGGGTTCTAGAGAGTGGAAATTGATGTGTTGCTGTTGTGGAGCTGGTTTTATCTGTCATTATCGAGAGTATTGCTATCCATTTCTCTCTCTCTCTCTCTCTCTGCCTCTCTCGCTCTGCTAACATGCTGGCGTTTCAGGTTGCCCATTTAGAGATTTTTGTCATAGTTTTCATTTTCCAACGGGATGTGGCACCGCACATTGACGCGCCGCATGCAGTACGGCTCAACGCCGAAGGATATCCGCTACGGGATGGAGGCGCGTAAAGCACTGCTTGTGGGTGTGGAAAACCTTGTCAAGGCGGTGGGCGTCACACTTGGCCCAAAGGGACGTAACGTCGTGCTGGAGATGCCGTACGCAAGTCCCAAAATCACAAAGGATGGTGTTACGGTGGCGAAGCATATTGAGTTTGAGAACAGCTTTGAGAACTTGGGTGCAAATCTTGTGCGGCAGGTGGCCGGCTTGACCAACGATAATGCCGGGGATGGAACGACAACGGCCACAATCCTTTCAGGCGCCATTTTTCGTGAGGGGTTCCGGAGTGTTGCTACTGGGACGAACCCAATGGATCTGAAGCGTGGCATTGAACTTGCGTGTCGCGAGGTTCTCGTGTCCCTCGCGGAGCAGGCGAAACCGGTGACGTCAAAGTCGGAGATCACGCAGGTGGCGATGATATCGGCGAACATGGACGAGGAAATTGGTGCGTTGATAGGTGACGCCATGCAGCAGGTGGGCAAGGATGGTGTCATTACAACACAAGAAGGCCGTTCACTCAACACGGAGCTTGAACTCGTCGAGGGCATGTCCTTTGAACGTGGGTTCACTTCACCGTACTTTGTGACGAACACCAAGTCACAGAAATGTGAGCTGGAAAATGCTTTGGTGTTTGTGGCGAACCGCAAGTTGTCCAGCGTTGCGCACATACTCCCAGCGTTGAACTACGCGATTCAGCAGAAACGACCTCTTCTTGTCATCTCGGAGGACCTCGAAGGGGAGGCGATGCACACTTTTCTGTACAACAAGATGCAGGGCCGCATCGGTGGGTGTGCGGTGAAGGCGCCTGGATTCGGTGACATGCGCATCAACCAGCTGCAAGACATTGCAGTGTTCACAGGGGCACAGATGATCTCGGAGGATCTCGGGCTGAGCCTCGACCACAATGACTTCTCCGATCGCCTGCTCGGGTCCTGCAAGAAGGCAACTATATCGCGTGATGAGTGCATTCTGATGGAGGGCGGCGGCAGCGCAATCGCGGTGGAGGAGCGTGTGCAGATGATTCGCGATATGATCGCTGCTGAAGACCATGAGTACAACCGTGAGCGTCTCGTTGAGCGCCTGGCGAAGTTATCTGGCGGTGTTGCTGTTATCAAAGTTGGCGGCGCCTCGGAGGTTGAAATCAACGAGAAGAAGGACCGTATCATTGACGCGCTGAATGCCACACGCGCTGCTGTCGCGGAAGGCATCCTGGCTGGCGGTGGTACGGCGCTACTTATCGCATCCGTGCGACTCGACCGCATCACAAAGGACCGTAGTCTGCCGCCGGACATCCGCACAGGTGTTAACATAGTAAAGCGCGCCATCCGCTTGCCGTGTCGCTGTATCGCTAGCAACGCTGGCGTCGAGGGAAGCGTTGTTGTTGGCAAGATCATGAAGAAAAATGACCCGACATTCGGCTACAATGCGCAGACGGGTGAGTATGTTAACATGTTTGGCGCTGGCATCGTCGACCCGATGAAGGTGGTGAAGTCAGCTGTTGTGAATGCCTGCTCTGTGGCCGGCATGATGATCACCACGGAAGCGGCGGTTGTGGAGAAGGATATGCTAGCGAAGGAGACACGTGTTGAGGATAAGGGCATGGAGGACAAAGAGAAACGTGAGGGGTTCAGCAATATGCGCAAGCGCGTCAACGAATCTCAGGCTCCGCTGCCAGCACTGTCGCCACCAATGAAGTTTCAGATGAAGGGAATATGAACAACAGCGTCTTATTGCGATTCGGGTAGGGTGGAGGCTTTCAGTTAGCTATCGAATGGGTGATGTCTGTGGAAAAAGGCGTTCGACAGCTGTGTGGAGACGGATTTCACGGGATTGGTGCAGCGGTCGACTGCTCTGATGCCGCACACCCCTACACAGGCACACACGCTCAGACGCATGGGCACGGACTTACCCACGCTACCTCTTTAATGCCCTTGATATGCTGAGTGAGATAGGATGGGTGGGGAATGAGGGATAGCCCATGGAAGTAGCACCTACGGTAGCTGCAGCTGCTGGTGCGATGAAAAATCAAGCACAACGTAGTTGATCAGCTGTACACGACGGTGAATGCATTTGCTATTCGGTGTGACAATTGTGTTTTCTCGTTTTTTTTTTTTTTTTTTTTTTGTTTTGGTTTCGATGCATCTCTAGAAAGCCATTCGTTGGCAGCATAATAATATTAGCTAGTGAAAAGGAATACACAGGTCGTGACGAGGCGTTATACATGACTTTTAAGATAAAGAAGATAGTGGACAACAAGCCAGATGAGTCCCGAAAGCCTGTAAAGCTCATCCTACTCGGCGACAGCGCGGTTGGGAAGTCAAAGTTGGTGGAGCGATTTTTGATGCAGCGGTACGTACCCGTGCAAATGTCTACGTACGCTCTCACACTATTCCACTATGACTTTATCAACGAAGATGACGAGGCGGTAGATCTTGATATATGGGACACTGCAGGACAAGAGCGATTTGCTACAATGCACCCTGCGTACTACCATGAGGCTCACGCGTGCATCCTCGTATTTGATGTAACGCGAAAAGCAACGTATAAAAATCTTGAAAAGTGGCTTGGTGAGTTGAGAAATTACCGAGAGCACATCCCCTGCGTCGTGGCGTGCAACAAGATAGACACAGATCCATCCGTGGTGTCGAAATCCTTTGCGTTTGTAGAAAAGCACAACCTTCCACTTCATTATGTGTCGGCTGCGGATGGGACAAATGTTGTGCAGCTCTTTGAGGCCGCAACCGCTGAGGCGGTAAGATACAAGAAGAACCCCAAGAATGAAGATTTCATGTCTCAGGTGCTGGGATTTATAAAGGAGGGGGAGCGGAAGGACGAGGCAGCAACGGCAGCCCCGCCTAGTGCTTCCACCAATTGAGGGGAGCATTGACGCTCTTTGCTGCACGCGTCGCTTTTTTT